CCCCAAAACCCCAAAACCCCAAAACCCCAAAACCCCAAAACCCCACAATACATTAATCAAGTAAATAGAGAATATCAAGAAAAATTGTTTTTACTAATTGATAAATTAATGGGAATTATTATTTAAATGATACCACTGAGAAATGATGATGACAGCGAAGAAGAAGAAACCCTAATAGGATATATGGAGAAAAGAGATCGAATATCTGGAATTAATGATCAAATTTCTACAATGAGGAAACTTTAAAAAGGTTTGGACTTCAGTGTAAGAGGAAAGATATCTGTGAATTATAGTTAGACACATAATAAATCCCAAGATAATACTAAAAATAATGGACAATTTTCAAGATAAAGAGGTAGGTTAATTGAAAAATTTAGGAATTTATAAAAGATAAATGAAGAAAAAGATTAAACTAAATAAGTTTCAAAAAATATATTAATGGATGTAAAATTTTGAGGAGATTTAGAAACATTAGAAAAAATTGAAAATTAATGCAAGAAAATAGATGAAAAAGTACAAAATAAGGTTGTGCAATAAGATAAATTGCCAACTGTAAAGAAGAATCAATTGAAGACCCGAACTAATTTGAAATTTGATTTTGATCCAGATGAATCTGATTCTGAACTACCAACAATTATTAGAGTGGGTAAACCTTAAATCTCGAATAAAGACTACCTCAAATTATTCAATACTAAAAATTAACCTCATAATGATAGAGAAAGAGCAAATAGTATATCTGAAAATCTTGTGATGCCATTAGATCCTGAGTTCTATTAAAATCCATTATTCAATAAGCAAAAAAAGTTAGAGAAAAATCTAAACTTACATCTCAATGATCTTTTCTCAATATCATAAATAGAAGAATTAAAAGTTTTAAATAGAAATTAATAAGCAGAATATGATGACCAGATATTCGAAAATAACTTGAAATAGCTAGTTTTAGATCAGAAAGTACATTAAAATAAAATAAATTAATATATTTCAAAATATTCAGAGTTAGATTCCCCCTATGCTCAACAGTTTGATATCTAAGATTTAAATCCAGGTGATAAATCTAATTTATGCAATATAATTTGCAATAAAAGTTTAAGTTCAAGTACATCTAAAAATTAAATAATAGAATATCCTTACGATTCTATAAACATAAATCAAATTAAATACTAACGCTCTTTATCGAAATTTCAAATGAGGCTATTTCAAATTATTGAGAACAAAAAAAAGAGATAGCAAGAGTAAGACCTAGATTTTAAAATATTAGATACAAACCCATACAATCAGACATTGCCAGAAAATGCATCAAATCTAACAAGAGAAGTCTTAATAAGTCCCTAAATTAAACTTAAAAAGCTTTTTTGCGAAAAAGTTAAGGAATTAGATTTGTTTTAAAAAGATAAAATACTTGATCAATATGATTCTAACACTTTGAGCAATTTAAGGAGGAAGGGTGAATCTGTCTATAGAATTCATCTCCGAGAGAAAATCAAGGAAAATAACTACAAGTTAATCGACTAGAACATTGAAAATGCAGTTAAAATTCCTAAGGAAATAAAATAGAGGATTAAAAAAAAATTTAACATCAAAGAAAAAGAGCTTGAACCTTTCTTCAAAGAAGAATAAGTGATTAGTTAGAAATTTTCTACAGTAAAAGTAAATCTAAAACCAGATCAATATCTTTCAGTAATGGATCTTAATAAGATCTAATACTAGAAAGAGTTGAAATGTGCAGAGAATAATTTAGAATGAGAAGAACATAGCAAATAAAAATCATTTATTTGCAAAAAAATATCAGAAAGATCCCACAAGAAAAATTAAAACAGCACTTCTTAGTTAAATTCAACAATTGAAATGATTTCCTCAACAAGCTTTCCAAATATTTTGATTACAGGTTCATCATCTTTAAGAAATTTGTCACAGTTCTCTTCTAAGAGTGAGTTTAAAGGACATTCATTTAATGCATATTAAGATTATGGATCAGATTCTAAAAATGAGTCTAATAAGCAATTATTTTTAAAGATTAAAAGTTAGTAAAATATGATTTTTAAGAAATCTAAAGCTGCTTACAATAGTTTAATTCATGGCAAACGATAAGCAAAATGTTTGCTAACCCTTGATGATTTCAATGTTAATTTAAAGAAACTAGGCGAAATAGTGAAGGATAAAATTAATAATCAGATAAAAGATATATCGTACGAAAACAATAATGATGGATTAGAAAATGTAAATTATTTTGAACTATATAAAAGTGAATTTGACAAAAAGGTACTAGATTGGTGTAGCGATGAAATTAGAGATTTAAATCATGATCAGTAAAAGTTGCATTATAGAGCAATTAGGTCCACAGTTTAAGATAGGAAATTGAGCAATTTAAGCTAAAAAAACAATGGATTTTAAATTGGATGAATCTAAGTACTGGTGAAATAATAATGATCACCGACTCATTTCAAATTTTAATAACTTACAAGACCGAAATTATGATGCAGGTGATAAAATTGTATGAAATCAGGCATAATGTTGATTTTTGATTTACATAAGTTATTACAAATTTATTTTAGCAATTTTATTTGACGGGGTTTTGGGGTTTTGGGG